GTTGAGGTGTAACCCATACTGAAGACTACATATAGTCTTTAATCTTCATCATTAAGTGCTTCAACTCATCTTAACTTTCAGCAAGCAAGGTTGTGTCATCTGTGTATTGCAGGTTATTAATCAGTCTTCCTCCAAACTTGATGCCACATTCTTTTTCATCTACTCCAACGTTTTGGATTATATCCTCAGCACACAGATTGAAAAAACATGGTGACAAGATACAACCTTAATGCACACCTTTCCTAATTTTAGTATCCCCTTGTTCTGTTGCCTCTTGGCCTATGTACATATTCTTCATGAGTGCAATTAAGTGTTCTAGAATTCCTATTCTTCACAATATTATCCATAATTTGCTAAAATCCATACAGGTGAATGTCTTTGCATAGTCAATAAAACACAGGTAAACATCTTTCTAGTATTCTTTGCTTTCAGCCAAGATCCATCTAACATCAGCAGCAAATTCCTGGCAGTTCCCTATTGATGTTCTGCTGCAATTGTTTTTAAATTATCTTCAGCAAAATTTTACTTGCATGTGGTATTGATAATATTAATCAATAATTTCTGCATTCTGTTGGATCACCTTTCTTTGGAATGGGCACAAATATGTATCTCTTCTAGTTGGTTGGCTAGGTAGCTATCTTCCAAATTACTTGGCATAAATGAGTGAGCACCTCCAATGCCACATCCATTCATTGAAACATTTCAGTGGGTATTCCATCAATTCCTGGAGCCTTGTTTTTCACCAATTCCTTAAGTGCAGCTTGAACTTCTTCTTTCAGTGTCATCAGTTCTTGATCATATGCTACCTTCTGAAATGGCTGACCGTCAGCCAATGCTTTTTGGTACATGACTCTGTGTATTCCTTCCATCTTCCTTTGATGTATATTGCTTCATTATTTTGCCCATAGAATTCTTCAGCATTGCAACTCAAGTCTTGAATTTTTTCTTCAGTTCTTTTAGCTTGAGAAATGCCAAGTGTATTCTTCCATTCTGGTTTTCTAATTCCAGGTCTTTGCACATTTCATTGTATTTTACTTTGTCTTCTCAAGCTGTTCTTTGAAATATTCTGTTCAGCTCTTTTATTTCATCATTTCTTCCATTTGTTTTAGGTACTCACCATTCAATAGCAAGTTTCAGAGTCTCTTCTGACATCCATTTTTATCTTTCTTCCTTTCTTGTCTTTTTAACGACCTTTTGCTTTCTTCCTGCATGATGTTCTTAATGTCATCCCACAATTTGGTTTTTGGTCATTGGTATTCAATGCATCAAATCTGTTCCTCAGATAGTCTCTAAAATCATATAGGATATAATCACGGTCATTATTTTGGCTCTCATGGACTTGTTTTAATTTTCTTCAGCTTCAACTTGAACTTGCATATAAGCATTTGATGGTCTGCTCCACAGTCAGCTCCAGGCCTTGTTCTGACTGATGATACTGAGCTTCTCCATCACCTCTTTGCACAGATGTAGTTGATTTGATTCCTATGTATTCCATCTGGCAAGGTCCATGTGTATAGTCTCCATTTATGTTGTTGAAAAAAGGTATTTGCAAAAACTATGTCAGAGGTACTGTCCAAAAAAGATGCCCCAATCCTGTCACTCTCATCCCAAAATCTCTTGTGGCAGCCTTAGATCACAGCATAAATTTCAACTTCTTAGGACTGCCTAAAAATGCTTCATAAACCGGTTCCTCACTTCCTCCTCATTCCTACATCAAATTGTCAGATTGTAAGGTTCAGATCTTGAACTTCCTGGCAAGTTACTTCTCCTTTTAGTGCCTTAATTTCCTCTTCTGCAAAACAAGGATAATTCTATCAAGTTTATAGGATTATAGTATTAAAGGATTTGATTGGGTGGTGCCTAGCACACTATGCTCAAGGTTTGGACAATTCCAATTCATAATCACCCTATAGGACAGAGTAGACATAGACAGGTTTCCAAGGCTATAAATCTTCACAGAAGTAGACTGTCTCATCTTTCTCCAGCAGAGGGGCTGGTGGGTTTGAACCTCTGACCTTTTGGTTAGCAGCCAAATGCTTTAACTAGGGTGCCACCAAAGCTCCTAGTTCACAGGATTGTAGTAAAGATTAAAGGATCTGCTTGGGTGATGCCTGGATGTTCATTATCAAATTCATTCAGAAAACATCTAAGTGCTGCCTTACGTGACCTGCTCTCCAACCACATTGGTAAATTGATAGATTAGGCAACCTCCACAAAAAACCTTCTCCCAAGTCTCATATGTTCTCATCAAACTTTGTACATAACTGTTTTATAATCTTATCAATGTATTATTATGGCTTGCATGTTTCTTTCACGAGAGACAGTACACTCTTGCTGTGTATATGTGTGTTTGCACATATAGATGGGGGGAGTAGTGATATTCAAAAGGAGCCCTGGTGGCACAAAGGTTAAGTGCTCAGTTGCTAACAGAAAGATTGCTGACTTAAACCCACCAGCTGCTTCTGGAGACAGACATGTGGCAATCTGTTTCTGTAAAGATCATTGTTGTAAGGTGCCATCGAGCTGGTTTTGACTCATAGAGTCCCTATGTACAGTCATTTCCATGCTTGAGCTTATCATTGCAGCCCCAGTGTCAATCCACCTCATTGAGGGTTTTCCCCTTTTTCACTGACCCTCTACTTTACCTAGTATGGTATCTTTCTCAAGGACCCAGTCCCTTCTGACAACATGAGCAAAATAGGAAAGAAGTTTGGCCATTCTCGCTTCTAATAAGCATTTCAGTTGTACTGCCTTGGAAACCCTATAGTGCTGTTCTACTCTATCTTATATGGTTGCTATGATTCAGAATCAACTAGAGGGCAGCCAGCAACAGCAGTGATATTCAACAGTGAAGACTGAACCTGCTCTCTTCTCCCCAAAGAGAAGAGAAATCCTGTTAGATGTACAATTAACTGTGAAGTTAACAGTGATAGCTAACTGGTGGCGCAGTGCCTAAGGCACCTCACCGCTAACCAGAAGGTTGGTGGTTCAAACCCACCAACCACTGCTCGGAAGGAATGATGGGCAATCTACTTCCGTACTGATACCTTCTCAAAACCCAAGGAGGGGTCCCTATGAGTCGGAGACGACTCGACAGCACATAACGACAATAACACACACGTTTCAAGCGCTCTGATTTCACCCCATTTTACAGATAAGGCTCCTGAGGCACTGAGTTGAGAAACTTGCACAAAGCCAAGGACCTAGCAAATGGTGGAGTCTGCACTATTCCAGCTGACTCCAGATTCCACGCTCTTAATTACCTCCCCTTCAACACCACCTAGCGGTGAGTCCCAAAACTTCCCCTGATGACGAACCTCAAATTCCTGAACCCCAAAATGCCCGCATGGATGAGAGGGGGCGCCGAGGAATAAAGAGACGAAAGCATCACCCGAGAATCCCCTTAAAAGAGCTTTCTCTAGCGTCCAGAATATAGGAGCTGTGTCCTCAACAACAACAAAATGTCCCCACAAAAGAAACGAAAAACCCCTACATTCGCGAGGATATTGGTGAAGATCGCGCGGATATTGGTGAAGATCCCTACCGGCCTAAGGGAGCGTGACCTGCACCCAAGAGTCCCGATCACATCAATAGCAATGGCCAAGGGCTCAGGGAAGGCGTGGGAAATAATGAGCGCACCCCATTTCCCCACAACTGCCCCCCACATGAAACTTTCCGGTACCGGGTCCGCAGCAACCAACTTTCAAACTTTCCCCCACCCTTACTCAGTTCCCCGCCGTAAGTGCTGCACAGTAACAACCGAAGCGCTAGTTGGGTCGTCTCCCTAGGAATACTAACCAATCAGAAGCAGGGAGACGCACAGGTTGCCTCTGCTGCTTGATGGGTATTGTAGTTCACACTCTATAATTGGCCTCCAAAAAAAAAACCAAACTACCCTAGAATGGGATAGCCGGTATCACTACCCGTATAGCTTGCTCAATCTTCCTTCCCAGGAGTGGCTGGTGGGTTTGAACCGCCAGACTTCTGGTTAGTAGTCAAATGCCTTAGGCACTATGCCACCAGAGTTCCCAATCAGCTACAGCTCAGAACCAATTTCTCAATATAATGATTATCAAAATCCGGTGAGGGCACACCACCAGGGAGATGGTATAGCAGGAGAAAAATTGTCCTTAGGATTTAATCTTTTCTTTCTTTTATAGCTACATTTTAAAATAGCTTAAAGGAGCAGAGAGGTGTGCTGATTTTCTAGGCAATGATTGAAAACTCCCCCATCACAGAAGAGTTTTTGGAAGAGAGCTTTTTGTTAGTTTTGGTTTTGCTTTATAAAAGAGTTATGAGTGGAATATCACCTAAATCATAATAAAAAAATTTAAATAATAAAAATATAAATGACAAGAGTTGTTTGAAAAAATGCTAAATGAAATTACTCAAACTGAAACATGAGACTATGTAGTTGAAGAGCATGAAAGAAACCAAGAGGAGGATTGGTATAAAAGGAGCTGTGAAAGAAAAAGAAACCTAATAAACAGGTCCTTTAAGACCTGGTGTCAGATCACTATCTTTGCAAAAAGTCTCTGCCCCCTTTCTTGTTCTTATCTCTCCTTTGCCATCTCCGTCTTATCATTTAGCTCACTATATAGGTCACTGGAGGAGCTCTGGTAGCATAGTGCCTAAGGCACTTGACTGCTACCCAGAAGGCTGGTGGTTCAAACCCACCAACCACTCCTCGGAAGCAAGACGGGGCAATCTACTTCCGTAGTGATACTGCCTCGAAAACCCAAGGAGGGTTCGCTATGAGTCAGGTCCAACTAGACGGCACATAAACAACAACATAGATCACTGGATGGTGCAAATGGTTTCTGCTTGACTACTAATATAAAGGTTGTAGTTTCAACCCATCTAGTGGCATGTTGCAAATGAAAGGCCTGGCAGTCTACAGCCAAGGAAACCCTATTGAGCAGTTCTACTTTGTAACATATGGGGTTACCACGAGTTGGAGTCCACTATGCTGCAACAGGTTTGGGTTGTTGTTGTTTAATTCTAACTATTGGCCTATACTCTTACTAAACTATGAGCTGCTTGAGAACAGGGACTGTATCTTACTCATCTCTTTTAACCCCTTTTTCTAAGATCAACTGGACGGCACATAACAACAACAACAACAAGATCTAGCACACCATTCAATTAATAGTTTTTGGGCAAATGAATGGAGGGAATGGGAAGAAAATGGGAATTCAGAGTGTAAGTTTGGTTTCAGGACTAGAAGAGAGCCAAGTGGATTGGGTAGTAATGGAGAAGGATTCAGGTCTGGTAGCTCTGGGTGTCCCCAGTTCGTGGCAAAGCACTGTCACATGGTTGGCGCTCAGTTAAATATTGACACCTAATTCTAGAAACAAACATCCAGGTTTCCTAGATTCATACTTCATACGTTCCATGTTCTGATTATTAATGAATGTTTGCCGCTGTTTGTTCCCATTTTGAGTTGTGCCGCATCAGCAAATGAAGGTCCTGAAAGCTTTACTCCATCCACATCATTAAGGTCCTCTCTACTATGAGGAGGCAGCTCTTCCCCAGTCGTATTTTGAGTGCCTTTCAAGGAGTTGATGGTCCACTGGTAAGCATTTTGCTGCAACCAGAAGGTCAGCAGTTATAAATCCACCAGCTGCTTTACGGGAGGGAGATGAGGCAATCTACTTCCATAAAGATTTACAGCCTTGACAGGAGACATGAACAGACACTTCACCAGAGAAGATATTCAGGCAGCCAACAAACACAACCAGAAATGTTCATGACAATTAGCCATTAAACCAAAAAACCAAACTCACTGCTATTGAGTCGTTTCCAACTCATAGCAACCCCCATTGGGTTTCCGAGGCTATAAATCTTTACAGAAGTAGATCTCCCCATCTTCCTTCGCAGAACAGCTGGTGGGTTTGAACCACTGACCTACTGGTTAGCAGTTAAGTGCCTTATCTACTATGCCACCATTAGCCATTAATGAGATGCAGATCAAAACAACCATGAGGTACCATCTTGTGCCAGCATTAATAGCAAAGTTCAACAAGACAGAAAATAAAAAATGCTGGCAAGGATGTGGAGAGATTGGGACTCTAATACACTGCTGGTGGGATTGTAAAATGATACAATCACTGGGGAAATCAATATGGTGATTCCTTAAAAAGTTGGAGATAGACATACCATTTGACCCAGCAATCCCATTATTAGGTATATATCCTAAAGAAATGAGAGGCAGGACACGTATAGATACTTGCATACCCATGTTCATTGCAGAATTATTCACAATAGCAAAAAGATGGAAAACCACCTAACTGCCTATCAACCAAGGGATGGATAACAAACTGTGGTACATACACACTATTTCCATAGTGATACTCTCGGAAACCCCTCCTTGGGTTTCCAAGGCAGTATAGCTACGGAAGTAGATTGCCCAGTCTTCCTTCTGAGGAGTGGCTGGTGGCTTT